ATTTATATATATATTGATATATTGATATACACACACATACACACATTATTATATATATATTTGTATATATATATATGTATATATATAATATATATATATATATATATATATATATATATATATATATATATATATATATATATATATATTAATAATTAGTGTTATTTATGTATATCTAAGCATAGCCAGTACACACCATTTTCATATAAACTAAACTAGGTTCAAAGTAAGGCATTTAAACTGGCCTATGATTATTACCAAACAGTGGAGCTCTGAATTAAAATGCAAATAATATATATATTTGCTTGATTGCCCCCTAAACAAATGATCTGGTGTATGTAATGAATAAAGAACTGAATAACCAACTTTTAGTCCTATAGGTTTAGTTAAGAGGCACCTGTTAAAACGAAATGCAGCTGCAAAACCCTAGGTGGGTATTTCAGTGTCCAGCTTGTTCCGTCCTTCTAAAGTCTGTACAAGGTGCAAAATCCCAAGATCCAAGTATTTAATGTGTATTATGTGTACTGTATGTATATGATGTGTTTTGACTTTTCAGTATATTTAAGACTCATGAAAATTAATGTTATTGCTATCATTTGTTACAAATCTGTGGATGTTAGCAAAATGTTTGACATTACATGGATTGATATGCGTAGAGACAAAAGACAAAAGATTATTCACTGTATCACTTTCTAATATGACCAGGGTAGATTGGTCCGATGAATAAATGGTTCCCTTATACAGTTTGATGACTTTTGCTAAGTTTTTGAGAACTAATCTTACTAAAGGATCTAAATTAATTAAAGGATGTGTTTTACCTATCTAATTTCAAATCCATGGCATTAAAGGTCAAGCGTGTCTAGTACCTGCCAAAATATCTAAATAGAAAAATGAAGCTGATCTGAGCCATTACCTTTTAACCCCAAAGCCCTGTAGGTACCTGGCATTACGCATAAAAAAATAACTATTTATAACCAGTGTCATAGTATTTACATTTTTTTTTTTAACTTGACAATAAGCTAGCATCTTCCTCATCCCTAGAGGAAAGATTGTGCTTTGCAGTGATGGTAATGACTTAGTTGGACCACATTGGTTAGATTCATCAAAATATAGTTCTTTGAAAAACAAAATACGTAGACATAATATGCTACTTAAAAATAAGAATACACATATTTTGTAAGGACTGATCACTACAACCTTCCGTACTATATGTACATTAACATCCACAAGTCAACCATCAATCTTATCTAATATTTTACAAGTTTCTGTATCTTAATGCAAGTTAGGCTGGTAAGTTTTGTATTACGGTCCATACATGTTCCAGAAAGTAGGATTTTCAAATCATCATACGTCAGGAAACCAGACTGATCCAAGGATAGTCAAATCTTAAGATTTTTTTCCATGTATTTTATTAATCAAGTTCCCTAAAACTTACCAAAGAAGATACAATATGTAAAAAATGTAAAACTTTACAAGAATGAAAAAATAATACCTCAAAATTATTCTGATTCATCATAGACAGAAGAGTTATTAATATATTTTTAACAACCAAGAACTATTATAAAAATATTGCATGGGTTAGTAGATATTACACTAGAGAGATTTTCTTCGTAAAATATTACTACAAATAAAATAATATTGCACAACCACAAGCACTTTACACAAGATACTTTCTTTACATAACTTAACATTCATATCATTTCTTACAAGCATAATAAAACCTCATACACACATACAAGATGAGAAGCTGAACTAAAGACAGACATCATCTACAGCAGGATATAATAGTTACTCCTATAATTATCACATTATAACGTGTTGAATGTGAGCGATCATGACTACTTTCATACTAGACACATGGTAACATCGCTACGCAAATGTACATACGAAACGCACCGAGTTATCCCATTAAATAATCTGTTCGTAAAAACTGCTCACTGCTCAACATAGGATATATTGTCAATGATTAAAAAAGACAAAAGTTTCCCCTTTACCCACCGCATTCTTGTGCTAGAGGTTATATGTTGAATACTGTTGTGTTCTTTTTTACTGTGATATCTTTTTTGCGTGGGGGAAGAGTATGCTATTTCCATACCATATAAAGCAATCATCATGGCGTCGTTATATAACTCGCATCTAGAGAGATTGTCGTTCGCACCTCGATATGGAAAATCTTCATGCTATCACATAGGATGATCATAATAATATAAAAGAGCCATCGATCTTAATAATAATCGTGACCATGGTACTGGTGATGACAACAGTACCGTATTCAAAATCAATAATAACTGAAATAAAAATAAAAATATTGATGGTGATGATACTGATCATAATAATAACAATAATTATAATAATAATAATAATAATAATAATAACAATAATAACAATAATAATAATAATAATAATAATAATAATAATAATAATAATAATAATAATAATAATAATAATAATAATAATAATAATAATAATAATAATGATGATAATAATAATAATAATAAAAATAATAACAACAAATTCATATTAATCATAATCATACCAAACCATAATGCTCATAACATAAACACTATACATTTGATAAGTATACCATTATTTTACGTTCATATGACAAGATAGCACGTGTTAAGCCAAGAGGCAATAGGGAAATGGATGAAATTATAAAATGAATTTCTATAGCAACAGAAAGTGTTATAAGGCAAGAGAAACAAAGCAAGACAGAAGGCACTAGATAGCAAAGGAAGGCAAAGAAAGGGGGAGAGGAAGGGAGAGCAAGAGGGAGAGGGAGAGGGAGAGGGAGAGGGAGAGGGAGAGGGAGAGGGAGAGGGAGAGGGAGGGGGAGAGGAAGGGAGAGCAAGAGGGAGAGGGAGAGGGAGAGGGAGAGGGAGAGGGAGACAGAGAAGAGGCAGCTAAATGAAGAAGAAGAAGAAGAATGCACAAGTGTCACGGTATAGAAAACAAGCTTCGAAGATTTGCCTTTTCTTTTTTTTCTTTTTTTGGTCCCCAAACCTTCCATTTCTCTTTTTCCTCAATTTATTTATTTTTTTCTAACACGACAAGATATATCAAAATAGACCTCTTATGTACACGTTTAGCCGAAGTTTTCGAAGTGATGAATAAAGTATGGCAGACGTCGGCCCCGGTTCACGTTCTCGCAGGCCGTGCTCACGCTCTTGGTGAGGGGGTTCGGGCCGCAGCTGAACACGCCGATTTTAGAGACCTGGAAGCATAGCAGGAGAATAGTGTCAGAGACCTGGAGGTACATTCGGAAAGCTAAATCTGTGACAGGGCATTTTGTCTCGAAACCTAAATCTGTCATCTGGAATTTTGTCTAGAAAGTTATATCTGTGACCTGAAATTACTTTTGAAAAACAAATAAACAATCAAAGACCTTCTGAAAAGGACGTGAATTCACCAAAGATGATCAGGAAATGTGAGAGCGTCAGAACTATTAGATAAAAACAATATATGAGACCCGAATTGCTATATAAGAAAAGAGTTGGAAATTTGACATGAGTAACAGAACACATACACCGATACTCTTTGATACATGAAGCTGAAATGATCCGAACAAATAACACAACAAATCCACGGTAACCGAACGAGTAGATATGACTACTCGGAAGCAAACTTACATAGTTATGCGTCTTTTGCACAAATTTCAGGAAGGACGTCATATCAGGCCGGCCGAAGTGATTGATGGCTTTCAGTCCGGTGAACATGCTACGTTTGCTCAGTCGCTGGAAGTGGTTCTCGCAAATATACTGAAAGAGAAGACACAACTCAGACCAATACCAAACCGCAGCAGTTTATGGGGCTAAATGTAATTAAAATGATGGATTTATCTCACGGGATCTGCAAAGGTATTAACATTTTTTACCGATTTATATTTCATATGATAATGTACTTTTTTTTGCTATTTTAATGCTTTTACACAAGAATGATGTTTTTGCATCTTTATTCACGTTCCCTTCACTCAAACTTATTATCTCGTCATCAACGTACATTCCATAAATCTAAAAATATCTTTGCTTTCTTTGTAATAACTTTCTTTTTTTATCTCCATTGCAGTAGATAGTGATTATTAAAACCCCTAAAAGCAACTAGTCATATATCACAAGTACAAATTAGTGAACATCGCCTATTTGAAAGACTGACACTGAACACAAAACCCAAGACCTTTCCACACAAATAAAACACACACATAGACTGCCATAAATACTCACCAGCATAGTCGTTCTCAAATCAAACTTATGGAAGAACTGCGTGATGAAAATGTGCATTTCTAAGACGTTGGTGACATCTTTACGCTCAACGTCACGTAGCACATCAATGAACCATTCAAACTGGCGATGCGTCGGGCAAATCCATAGGAAATAGACCTGTAATAAGAAAGAATCATCATTAACACCTGTTTTTCAAAGCCAGTGATGATATAAGTTTTCTCATGTCCTTCAAAGAATGATGATATATGCAAAGCCTTTTCTTCGTTTCAATTCTTGGTCACACAGCCTAAATTTCTTTTCATATAAGTAATAATAGTGATATTAGGAACTTTAAGCTACTTCTGATTCACCGAGATTATTTCATGGAACTGAAGAAGATTATATGCATTTCTATGCACTGTGCAGCGTAAAATATATATCATTACAGTTATATATACACATCTACTTCTGCAGATTTTGAAATCCTTATACACGTCTAAAACAAGTTACTTTCATACGTAGCTATATTTGAAATAGTTATGTAAACATAGATACATGTAAATTTCAGTGCAGTTTGCTTAGGTTGGTGCCGAGATATTTTCTTGGCAGACATTTCTATTTTTTATTTTATACAATAACTTAATAAGCAGGTTGTTGTTTTTATATTTATAAAGGAATAATATTTATATCTTTATATATATATATATATATATATATATATATATATATATATATATATATATATATATATATATATATATATATATATATACACATTTCGTTTCCTTCTCATAAATAGGGAAAATGCAATGATTTTTCATGATGATGAATGCTATATACAATATACATTTTAATATTCACGTGTAAGACTAGCTGGATGATTTTAATACACGAAAAAGAAACGAGGAAAACGCCAAATCAACGAAGCTTACCTCAAAAGAACACGAGAATAATATTAGATAACCTCAAGACACATCCCTCAAAAAATCAAACCACAAAATGTCAATCCCACACACAACCACCCTACACCGTTCGATTAAAAACAGATTCATATCAATATTTCTACCAACCTTCTTGCACGAAACCCCCGAGTAGCGGTTGGTCGACGTTCCGAAGACGAGATCGTTGAGGATGGAGGCGTAGGGCGTGACGCCGATGCCTCCGCCGACCATCACCGCGACCTCGAACTTGTGGGCGAGGCGAGGAAGGACTCAGTTAGGAGGTCCTTAGGCTTAGTTATTTCACGACGAGAGGACCACGAAAAGGGAGGGAAGGAGTGACGATGTTTTATCAAACCGAGGGTTGCATGGTGTGAAGACCTCACGTATTCGTATTCTTTAGATATTATCAATATCTCCCTTCCGTAATAGAAGAAAACTTTTGTTTTCATTCGAGTTATTCAATAACCTTATGTTAAAAAAATGAACAAAAAATGAACCTCATTAATGAACACAAAGTATTAATTTCTTTATATCTATCCTATGTGATAATGCAAGAACTTCAGACATTAAAAATAACTAGTTTCTTTGCCCTCTTCTTCCCCGCCACCAACTAACCTTGGGCGGGTTCTCCTCATCGTGAACATAATTGTGCGGGTCGAAGAACTTCCTGAGCTTCCACGTCCACGGTCCTTGGGCTTTGATGTGGCACGACAGGAAGTTCTCGTGGGGCGCTGAGGTCAGGGTGAACGAATGGTATTCTGACTGCCTGAAAGCGGTGCAGTTGAGGCGAACCCACTGGCCGCTCAGGTACTTGAAGTTGGGAGGTCTGGGGAGAAAAATCGAGGTTAATATGTGCCCAGAAGCGTGTTCTCGTAGATATGTACTATGTAAGTTTGTACTTGTAATTATGAAATGGAATAAATTTACTCAGAACTATATGCTCGAAGCTATGAATACTCAAAAGGTAAAATCTATTTTCTCATTGCTAAAGAGAAACAGAAAGGAAAGCTGTATAATACTCTCTAAAAGTACTGGGTATGACTTTAACTGCACGATACCTTTCTGTCCTTGACTCTGACTAGAAGCACCCTTCTCTATCCTTCACACCGACTAACAAGTCATTTTTCAATCCCAGATTTTGACTAGAAATAAGACCCGAAGCCGAAAAGAGCCCCAGACGCATGCCCCAAGAACCCCCCTCTCATACGCAGCCCCAGAGAGCAACAGCATCCCACCGAAGACGCCAATCTCACCTGTAGAACTTGACCTTGACCACATCCGAGGGCAGCAACTCCGTCTCAATGATGTCCAACTCCATATAACGCGTTCGAAGGCTGATGATCTTGTCCAGGGTGTAGATGATGCCCGGGCCGACGAAGAAGATCCAGAACCTAAATAAATAGATACATGTATAAAGCATCACAAAAGAATATTTCTTAGAGGACATAAGAAAATAATCGTAACATTGTAATCAATGATAATGTAAAAATAAAAGACATGCCTTTAACTAGAACCTAAAAATAATTACTGGGTGATGGATATCATTTCTTGAACCTGAATGTACAGCAAAATTGGATCAGAGGGAAGACCAGATGACGTAAAACTATTTAACTCACACCAAAATCTTTAACAGCAGCGTTATCTATTTCTAAATCCAGATCCACAAACACAGTAATAAGAGTAAATAACGGAATAAAAAGGAAACCGAAACGGAATCGATACAAACCTGGGTGCTCCTGTGAGACGAGCCAGTCCGTGCAGCAGACTGAGGATGTACAGCAGGATGTACAGCTGATGTGCAGCCCAGAAGAACTTGTACGCTTTCCTTCGTATGATCGGGTGCGCGAAGATGAAGATGATGCACATGATAATGAACAGCGACACGCCAGTCAGACCTGTTAGGGATAATTACGTGTTATATTATGGAATTAATGTTACCATTGTCTGTGAAAGTTAGAGCAGAATTGTGACTTTTGTGAAACCGATAGTTTACGAGCTCTCACACTGCCCGCTTTAACTTTAGAAACTTACAATACATGAACTCCTTATTTCAGTCCACCTCCCAAGCCGCTGCCCCCCACACGGCACAGCGCCGCCCCCACATGGCACAGCGCCGCCCCGAGCACCTACCTGTGATGGTCTGGAAGAGCCAGTAGCCCACGGTCGGCTTCTGGTCGGAGGCGAAGGAGATTTCCTGCGTTAGACACCTGAGGTTCTCCACCGGCTGCGTCGACACGTGGTAGAAGTTGACCAAGTGGCCGCAGCTGTGAAGAATACTGAAGAACAGAGCCGTGCACGCAACGATCTTGTGGAACTGTTCACGGACGGAGAGAAAATGGAGTTACACATAAAATCACCAGTCTAAGCAGAACCGAGAGCACAGCGGCAAATGTCGCAATGTTTATCTGGTTAAATGTCTAGGTTATAATAGAATATGTGAACAAAATCTTAAAAAATCAGACGAATTCTCACTCAAAACAATCATCCTACTTGCAAGAAGAATACAACACATGACAAAGAAACAACAGACAGAACGAACATTACAATGCACCTTACTAACCAATACGAAAGATCAAAAAAAGATAAATAAGATCACAGCCACCCTTGACTTCAGAACAGTCTCCTACCTGGATGTGCGAGTCGAGGGGAATGTACTGCTGGAAACTGAAGTCCTTGAGCTTGGTGATGAGGTTCCTGGACATGGTGAGCAGAAGCAGGGAGTAGCAGAAGGACAGCGAAGCGGCGGCGCCCCTCGTGATGGCGATGCCCACGCCCATGATGTGCCGCAGGTCAGTGTGCTCCGCCATGAAGGAGTAGTCTGCAGAGTGGGAAGGAATGAGTTTGGGTGGAGGGGGAAGGAAGGAGAGGGGAAGGAGAGGGGAAGGAGGGAGGGAGGGGGGAAGGAGAGGGGAAGGAGGGGGAAGGAGAGGGGAGGGAGGGAGGGAGGGAGGGAGGGAGGGAGGGAGGGAGGGAGGGAGGGAGGGAGGGAGGGAGGGAGGGAGGGAGGGAGGGAGGGAGGGAGGGAGGGAGGGAGAGAGAGAGAGAAGGAGGGAGGGAAGGAGGGAGGAATTGATAGATGGATGGATGGGTGGGTGGGTGAATACAGACAAACTCTGATTCAAATCAAATCAACCATTTAACTAAGACACAAAGAGAAGCGAATGAAGCACATGTAAATAACAAACATTCCTTAAAACATTAAAAATATATACCTGATAACCCCAATAAAAGGAAAACCTCAACAATAACAACAACACCCATTATCCTAACTACCAATTATAACAATAACTACTACTACTAGTCATACTTATAACTAGCAAAATACGTGACATAAAAAAAAAGCGGAAACCATCGTTCTCAAAAATACTCACGTATGAACCGCTCGCAGAAGAGAGCAATGGTGATCACGTAGAAAACGAACAGATAGAAAACGTTCTGCCTGTTCTCTTCCAGGAATGTGGCCAGCGAGTTGTACTTCTTCATCATCCAGTGCTGGTTCCTGTTCATGACCTCGGAGATGTGGAAACTTGCCATCCTGGGAGAGAGAAAGAGAGAAAGAGGGAGGGAGGGAGGGAGAGAAAGAGAGAGAGGGAGGGAAAGAGGGAAAGAGGGAGGGAGGGAGGGAGGGAGGGAAAGAGGGAGGGAGGGAGGGAGGGAAAGAGGGAAAGAGGAAAAGAGGGAGGGAGGGAGGGAGGGAGGGAGGGAAAGAGGGAAAGAGGGAGGGAGGGAGGGAGGGAAAGAGGGAAAGAGGGAGGGAGGGAAAGAGGGAGGGAAAGAGGGAGGTAGGGAGGGAGAGGGAATGAGAGAGAGAGAGAGAGAGAGAGAGAGAGAGAGAGAGAGAGAGAGAGAGAGAGAGAGAGAGAGAGAGAGAGAGAGAGAGAGAGAGAGAGAGAGAGAGATAACATTATTAGTTGGTATGTATGCGTGGTCATGAGTCACATATTTCTAGCATTATTACTTCTGCATATTCTTTAACACTGGCATGTAAGATAGTATAAACACACACACACACACACACACACACACACACACACACACACACACACACACACACACACACACACACACACACACACACACACACACACACACATATATATATATAATTTTAGGTAAACAAACACTGATTTCTGTCTGAGTAAAATATGTGATGAAAGTCCGTGACAGTGCCAAGGTTGGAGCCACGCATACCAAATTTAACACGACAGAACAAAGCTGTTTTAACTCAAGGACGTTACTCTTTTCTCTCTCGTAGCTACCATACGACTAAAACTGTTATATAACAGTTTTTTTTCCCTATATCATCATTGTTAGGTACTTTTGTTACTTCTAAAAAATGTTATTAGCTAAACAATATTTAATATTCCTGTGACTAAAACGACTTGGAACTTATAAAATATGGAATAGGCCTATGCACATTCTAAAGATATCTTTTCATCAAACCACCTTGCTTAACTAGCAAAATATTACAACTCCAAAAAGAGGTCATTCCTACCTACTTTTTCTTTATATCTGACTACTTTCTACATTTTTTGTTTTTCATCATTTCTTCCTTCTACATTTTGTTCTATTCTTTATCCATTTTCTCCAATTTTTACATTTAAAATTCCTTCTGTCCATATGAACTCCTCTGATTCATAAATTCGTATTACCTATGACACAATCTACCAAAATTTATCTACGCTATACATCATCATTCTTGACAAAAGAAACACATACAAATTAACAATTGGACAAATGAATAATTAAATAAATAAATAAAACACTCGTGGAGACAGTGAATAAACTACAAAAGTCGAAAAGTACACAGGACACCCAGCACCAGCCGTGCATTGAGCTCGGGCGGAGGCGCACACACCAGCCTCGCCGCCCTCGCCTGACCCGTATATATACCATGGGTGTACCGTGTGTATACCATGGGTGTACCGTGTGTATACCAAGGGTGTACCGTGCCTGTACCTCTTGCTGCGGCGAGAATGGAGCAGGAGGTCCCAGGTATCAGCACGCACACCAACCAGGGGGGTTATGTCAGCATCGGGAGTAGTCAGCACGAGCGGTTGTCAGCAGCAGAAGGGTTAGTGTCAGCGCCGTTGGTTGCGGTCACAAGCAGGGTTAAGTCAGCACAGGTTAGTTTCGTTAGCGTTAAGAAAAAGACAATAAAAAAACAACAACAGACAAGCTCGGGCATGCCTAATTAAATGTTTTATGCCACCTTAAGCTATGGGGTTATGGGGTTACGGGTTTAGCACAGCATCTAATGGTTTCATTTTAAGGGTTAAAACAAAAGGGGGAGGGGGGTTATTTCCAAATAAAAAATGGGTTAGAGAAGAAGGGAGAGGAATGAGAGAAGAGAAAAGATGACCTTAGGTTAATGCAGGATAGGACAAGCGGTCATTAATTGGTGTAAAGAGGTGATTCTCCTGCTTAAGGTCAAGGGTGTGAGAAAGAAAGAGAAAAAAGGAAAAAAGCATTTCCTAACACACCTCTATAATATGACTGAATTTACTATGGATCTCAGACTAACAATAAAAGAAAATAGTTTAGTGCCTCATCATCACCATTATTATCATTACTATCATTATTATTTTTATTATCTCGTCCTCCTTCTCATTATTATCACTGTTATTATTATTGTTCTTATTTTTTCTAACTCCTCTCCTCGCCCGCTCTCTGTTCCCTCCCCTTCCTCTTCTTCTCCCTGCCCCCCCTCAAAACTCCCTCTCTCACTCCTCTTTCCTCTTCCTCTCCTTCTCCTTTACTCTATTCCTCTCCCTCTCCCTCTCCTTCTCTGTCTTCCTCTCCCTCTCCTTCACCCTATTCCTATTCCTCTGCCTCTGCCTCTCCCTCTCCTTCATTTTCCTCTCCCTTTCCCTCTTCCTCCACCTCTCCCTCAATCTTTCCTTTTTTCTTGCTTTCCCTTTCCCTCTCCCTTCCCCTCATCCTATTCTTCTCTCTCTCCGTTTCCCTCGCCCTCACCCTCTTCCTCCACCTCTCCGTCAACCTTTTCCTTTCTCTTCCTCTCCCTCACCCTATTCCTCTCCCTCACCTTTTCCTTCTCCCTCTCCCTCTCCCTCTCCCTTTTCCTTTTCCTCTCCCTCACCCTTCCTTATCTTCCTTTCCCTCACCCTCTCCCTCTCCCTCGACGATAACGTGGTTCCCGAAAATGCTAACCAACCACCCCTGATCCCGCGCGAGAAAACATGCCCAAAGAGGCGTGGAAAAAAAGAGCATTTAATAAAGGACGACCTAAAGAGAGAAGAAAAAAAGAAAGAACGGTGATTCCAAACAGAAAAATGGGTAAAAAGACAAACAAAAAAAAAGCCACGTTTTGACGACGCCCTTTCGCCCCCGTCCTACCTGGCGACGTTGGTGGACGTGTCGAGGAAGTTCTGCTTGGCGCCCTTGCAGTCGAGGCCGATGGCGATGAAGTCTCCCTTGTACTCGCGCATCATTAGCTTGAAGTCGTCGTAGGTGAGCGACTCCTTGTGGTTGATGCCCGACGAGCTGAACATGCCGTTGATCAGCTCCTCGACCTGTGGGGGGGAAGGAGAGGTTGGTTGAGGGCGGTCTCGGTGGTGAGGGCTGAAGGCATTGGTGATGGGGCAATGGCATGCAAGAGAAAGGGAGCCACGGCGCTGTGACCGTCTTTGACCAAGGGTGCTCCTCATGCCTTCTCCTTCTTCGTAATTACTCCCCTCACTCCTGCTAGTCCTAGTCCTAGTTCCAGTGCCCCTGCCTTTTCTTTCACAGTTCCAGTCCTGGTGTCCTTCCCTCTCCCTCTGCGGTCCCGTTTCTGGAACCTCTGCCACTTCATCCCGCGGTCCCAGTCCCGGTATTCCTTGTCCTCGCTCTCTCGGACCTAATTCTGTTATCCCACCCCTTCTCCTTCCCGGTAGTCCCATTCCCCCTTCCCCTGGTACCCTCCCAATACCTCCCCCCACCTACCCCGAAACCTGAGTTCCGCGCCTTACCTCCTCGTCGCTGACCGTGTTCGTCTTGGCGATCTCCACCAGCGAGCGCAGCATCTCGGAGAGCTCAGTCTTGTCGATGACGCCGTTTCGGTCGTTGTCACACATGTCGAAGATGATGCGCAGCTTGTCGTCGGTCGAGCCCTTGCTAAAGAGCACGACGGTGTCCAGGAACTCCTGGAAGGAGATGCGCCCGTCGCCATCCTTGTCGACGATGTTGAACATGCGGCGCACGAAGATGTCGTCGGGCTTCATGCCGAGCGCGCCGGCGAACTCCTTCTTGGACAGCGACGTCCGCATCACCATAACGACGTCGCTGGCGGCGTCTTCGAGCTTGCGCTTCTCGCCGGGCTTGAGGCCGAAGGTGAGCTCGTAGGCCTCGCGGAAGAAGTGCTCGAGGCGCTTCGTGCGACGCTCCTTCGTCTCGGCGTTGGCCAGCATCTGCTCCTTGTTGGTCTGCACCCTGTCCAGGGCCTTCTTCAGGCTCATCAGGAACTGCTCGAGCTTGTTCAGGAACTTGTTGCGCGCCGCCTCTGTGTCGAACTCCAGGACGAGGTCGTGGTCGAGCGGCGGCCGCAGCAGCACCATGGGCTTCCGCCGCTGGTCCTGCGTGATCTCCACCACCAGCGTGTCCACGTGAGCCACGTTCACGCGCCGCAGCTTCTCGCCCTTGCGGTTCACGGTGCAGATCTCCTGGTTCGGACCGAACTTCACCTTCACGATGCGCTTGTGGTTCTGCAACGAGCCAAGAGGAAGTTAACGGGGTCCGCCCTTCGCTACGTTTCCCTCCAAATGCGATCACCATTTGATAGAAAAGAGCTCAAACGAGTAGTACTTCTGACTCTGATCCTACCATTCAACAATCTTGCAGACTGCTCTGGCCCTTCCCTCTCCCTGGCCTCCTACGCCCCCAACCTACCTGGTGCAGCCACTCCTTGACCATCATCTTGTCGACGCTGCGGCCGTTGTTGTTCTCCTCCTGCAGCGTGCGGAAGTGCCTCCTGCGGGAGTTCTGGAACTTGACGGTCGCGTAGCCGGCGCCGGCGCAGATGAGCGGCACGGCGGCCAGGAGGATGCACGAGTAGATGTACGTCACTTCAGAGCCCTGAGGGAGGAAGGCGAGGTGAGACGGACGAGTGGAATGGAGGGAAAGAGATGGACGAGTGGAATGGAGGAGAGGGATGGACGAATGGAATGGAGGAGAGAGAAGAACGAGTGGAATGGAGGAGAGAAACGGACGAATGAAATGGAGGAGAGAGAAGAACGAGTGGAATGGAAGAGAGAAATACGCTAGTAAGATGGAAAGAGAGATGGACGAGTGGAATGGAAGAGAGAGGGAGAAGCGTGAAGGAGGAATGAGATGGAGTGAGAGGATAAGCATCCATGATGGACACAACAGAACGAGAGAGTGAAGGACGGGAGAGTACAGGGACGGAGTGGGCGAGGAGAGAGAGAGCGAGTGTTAGTGAGTGAGTGAGTGAGTGGATAAGCAAGCGAGTGCATAAAACGAGTGTGCGTGGGCAAAGGAGAATCATAAGAACAGGAATAAGGGTGTTAGCGAAGACCTTGTGACATGTTTCTGATGTTACTGCCATGCACACGAACAAAATCTTAAATATGTACATCTCTAACATGAATATATGAAAAAGTAAAATTGAGAAAAATACACTTAATTAACATACTGAAAACTAATAATCATCATTAAAATTAGTTTTCATTTGAGTAACCAAAAGTGCATAAAAAGGTTCAAGACTGCAGGCATTCTGGATGATGACGATAATGAATATGAAGAAGATGATGATGATGATGATGATGATGATGATGATGATGATGATGATGATGATGATGATGACGATGACTTATCAACAACAACAATATCAATAATACAAAGAAACGGAATTCCAAAATACGAGAACATGAAATCAGAACAGCAGAGCGCGAGATCAATTCAGAATACACGACAACCGAACAGCAGAACACACGGACCTAAAAAAGACATGGTCGTAAGAGTGAACACCAGTAATGACTAAACACGATAAAAATAGGCATAAGCATATTGAGCAAATAAACGCAAACAAAAAAAAAAAACGTTAAATTTGTTCAAGAAACGAGAGCTGCCAGTTGTTTTTATTTTTTTCAAAATAATAAACAAACGTATGACGCATAATTAAGTTAGTATACGGGAGAAGAAAGCACACGCTGACAACGGGCAATGAAGGGGATAAAAAGGGAGAGAGAGGGAGAGAGAGAGAGAGAGAGAGAGAGAGAGAGAGAGAGAGAGAGAGAGAGAGAGAGAGAGAGAGAGAGAGAGAGAGAGAGAGAGAGAGAGAGGGAGAGGGAGAGGGAGAGGGAGAGGGAGAGGGAGAGGGAGAGGGAGGGAGAGGGAGGGAGGGGGAGGGAGAGAGGGAGAGAGGGAGAGAGAGAGAGAGAGAGAGAGAGAGAGAGAGAGAGAGAGAGAGAGAGAGAGAGAGAGAGAGAGAGAGAGAGAGAGAGAGAGAGAGAGAGGAGAGAGAGAGAGAGAGAGAGAGAGAGAGAGAGAGAGAGAGAGAGAGAGAGAGAGAGAGAGAGAGAGAGAGAGAGAGAGAGAGAGAGAGGAGAGGGAGAGGGAGAGGGAGAGGGAGAGAGAGAGGGAGAGGGAGAGGGAGAGGTAGAGAGAGATGGCGAGGGAGAGGGAGAGGGAGAGGGAGAGGGAGAGGGAGAAGGAGAGGGAGAAGGAGAAGGAGAAGGAGAGGGAGAAGGAGAGGGAGAAGGAGAAGGAGAGGGAGAGGGAGAGGGAGAGGGAGAGGGAGAGAGAAGTAAAAAGCGTTCAAGGTGACTGAGCCCACTTCACACATGATCCTCTCACACACAGTGCCCTCCCCCCCCTCTAACCCATCATCCCTCAATCCCTCCCATCTCCATATAAACACCTAGATAAGACTTACAGAGGCACAGACCTGCGTTTATGTAGTTATACATACATAGATATGCACACACATTCATAAATGCTATTGAAGTGGCACGGTGGGATACATACACCCAGTCACTCACTCAACTCACTCACTCACACACTCACACACTCACTCACTCACTCACTCACACACTCACTCACACACACACAATGTGAGAGCTAATTCTATATCCCGTATCTTTAAATGCACGTGTATTGCTCCCCATTCCCGCCATCCCACGTGACTATTTTTCTTTTCACAACGAACCAATCCTCGAAGCTTTCATTCACCATCATATTTCTCGCAAGTTCCACTCGACCCGCTTTCGTTTCGGCCACCAGACGGGCGTGCAGTTAATGGCGGAATCGGTTCTGCTTCGGGCTTCCCGTTAGATAGGCCTAAGTCTCTCTCTCTCCCTCCTCTTCTTCCTTTTTCTCCTCCTCCTCCTAGTTCTTTTTTTTTTCTTTCCCTTCCTCCCTATTTCTTCTTTCTCTTTCTCGCTCCCTCCTACTTCCCTCCTTCCTCCCTCCCTCCTATTTCCCTCCTTGTCCATCTCCTCCTCCTCCTTCGTCGCTTCAACACAACCGTCAACTGTCACTTCATATATCTTCCTTCCTCCTTTTCCCCTCTCTCCCTATCCTTCCACCCTAAAACTTTATCTTCTTTCTCCCCCCCCTCCATCTATCCTCCCTTCTCTCCTCTTCCTTCCCTCTTCGTTCTCCTCCTCCTCCTCCTCCTCCTCCTCCTCCATTCGCTTCAACATGACTGTCAACTTTCACTTTTTCCCGGATGCCACTGTCTCGGCCGGAACTCAGTGACGTAAGTGAAGTCTTAGAGGCGGTCTTACGTACTTACGTACATACCTGCGCTTACGTACACATACATACGGACATAGATTCACACGTGCACCCACAAATGTATGGCTATATGCTGCAAAACATCGGGCAATGTTTACATTCTGGTAAGCCTATAGTGATTTCATACACATGAGTGGTTGCGTGTCTCTCTCTCTCTCTCTCTCTCTCTCTCTCTCTCTCTCTCTCTCTCTCTCTCTCTCTCTCTCTCTCTCTCTCTCTCTCTCTCTCTCTCTCTCTCCAAGCTAGTTAATTGCACGACTGGTTTCTGCAAGCTAGCAACCTCGACGCATCCTTGTAAACAGTGAACCTAATGACGTCAAGAGCGTGACGTCACACACCCATTCACAAGCTGTCACAAGTCATGAAGCATTATTTGAGCGGCAATCAGGCCCAGGGTGTTCGCTCTGGAAGGTAACTGTTTGGCGGCTGTTGTTCTGTTTGCAGGTAAATATTAAGGATCATTACCAGTCACGTCTCGCAGAGTGAGGTTGGGGAGGGGAAGGGAGGGGAGGGGAAGGGAGGGGAGGGGAGGGGAGGGGAGGGGAGGGAGAGGAAGGGGAAGGGGAAGGGGAAGGGAAGAAAAGAAAGAGAGGGTAGGATGGGGATGTAGCGTAGGGTAGGAGAGGGGAAAGGCGGGAAAAGATAAAAGAAAATGGAGAAAAGCAAAGCAAATGAAGCAAATGAAAGGAAAAGGAGGAGGAGGGGAGAAAAGAAGATATATAAAAAAGAAAACCAAGGCAAAGGGAAAGCCACACTAGTAACATCCGAACGGCGAGAGGTTGCCAGGTAACAAGCAGCGCGACGCGAAAACAGCCTTGATGGTTTACTCGTGGTAGTTGGGACGAGCGACGTGGGTGGGGGGGGTGGGGGGTGGGGGGTAGTGGGTGGTTTCGTGACCCGGGTGCCGCTCCAATCACTTCCGTAATGATACATAATTCGACCGGGGGGAGGGGGAGGGGGAGAGGGAGGGAGGGAGGGGGAGAGGGAGGGAGGGAGGGGGAGAGGGAGGGAGGGAGGGGGAGAGGGAGGGAGGGAGGGGGAGAGGGAAGCACTGTCGAGATATGGAGATGTGGATGGGAGAGGGGAGAGGGGCATAGTGAAGGGGGAAGGGGAGAGGGAGGAAATAGGGAGATAGGGGGGAAGAGGGAAGGAGGGAGGAGGAAGACGAGACAAGGAAAAGAAAGGAGGAGGAAAGGGGAGATGGTGAGGAATGGAGAGCCACTCCTCACTTCACCGGCAAATTAAAAATCGCCCTTGAACCATTTCTGACTCTTTTTCATCCGACCGGAAAGAACAAATGAATATTAAGCAAAATCCATAACTTGTATATTTTTTTTCCAGATCCCTAACTTTAACGATTCTAGCCACTGCCCTTTCTATCTAAGCAGTCCTTAAAATAAGTTTAATTGGCCATTAAGCAGAGCAGTGACAAAACTTCCAGGCTAATGTTATTATTAATAATAATAATAACAATAATAATAGCAAAACCAATAATAATAATATTAATGATAATAATAATAATAATAATAATAATAATGATAATAATAATAATAATAATAATAATAATGATAATAATAATAATAATAATAATAATAATAATAACAACAATATCAATGACACTAACAACAAAAATGGATAAATAACAATAGCAATAGCAACAACAATGACAATGATAATAACAACATTCGCATTCATTTCGTGAAGTAGTTACGCCCACGGTAAAATCGTCAGCGTTGGCGAAACGACCACAAATAGACAGGGACGAGGAATGAAAGTGCAGTGGATATCCAGAGCAGATTTTTAACGACCACATTATCTCTTTACGATCATCGGCTATGGCAGGTCACGCTGTACCAGTCCATATATCCAGTTTACCGGTCCATAATTAGTTCGTTCGGTCAACTCGTCTACCCTTTTTTTTTAATCGATACATTCTCTCTCTTTCGTTTTCTCTATCTTTGTCTCTGTGTCTGTGTCTGCGTCTGCGTCTGCGTCTGCGTCTGCGTCTGCGTCTGTGTCTACATTTGTGTCTGTGTCTGTGTCTGTGTCTGCGTCTGTGTCTACATTTGTGTCTGTGTCTGTGTCTGTGTCTGTGTCTGTGTCTGTGTCTGCTCTTTCACTCTTTCTATCCCGTCATTATGCAGCTGCAACTGATAAGCGTTCGATGCACGAAAGGGAGGCTAGTTCGGTGCACTTGGCCAGGATTTAGCGCTTAGGTCCTGGAAGTGTCCACAGCTAATATGGTTTAGCAGTTTCACTTGCGTATGGTCAATCGATGGGCCGGTGGGCTGGTGGGCCGGTGGGCTGGTGGGTGGGGCGGACGGGGCGGGTGGGCGGGCTGCACGTCGCTACTGCTTTTTGTGGAAGAAAAATCCAACCCGTTTTCACTATAAAGACGACCCCTCGGGTGGGCAGAACGAGAGGATTCAGGCGGTTTTGTGTAAAGGTAGCTGGGATTTTTTTTTTCTTTCTTTTTTTTGGCTTAAAAATTCTTTTCTTTTTTGTTTACTTCATCCTGTTTTCCCTCTCTCTCTTTCACTACGTGTCTGTTTCCTTGTTTTTTTCTGTCTTTTTCTGTTTTTCTGTTTTTTTTTTTCCTTTCTTTCTTTCTTTCTCCCTCTTTCTCTTCCTTGGTTTCTTTTTCTTTCTCTCATTTTATTTATTTCTATTTCTATTTACTTTTCTCTCTCATTATTTCTCTATTTCTAGCTCTCTCTCCCTCTCCCTCTTTCTCTCCTTCTCCCTCTCCCTCTCCCTCTACCTCTCCCTGCCCTTCTCACTTTCTCCCTCTCTCTCTCTCCCTCTCCCGCTTTCTCTCCTTCTCCCTCTCCTTCTCCCTCTCCCTCTCCCTCTACCTCTCCCTGCCCTTCTCACTTTCTCCCTCTCTCTCTCTCCCTCTCTCTCTCTCCCTCTCTCTCTCTCCCTCTCCCTCAATTCCCCAACGCCTCTTCCCAGTGCGCAGCCCCGTGCTCTCGGCTTCAGAGCCTCCGTCACACGCCCGGCTCCTGCTATCTCTCGGCTGCAACGGCTGCCCGGATGCAGAAGGAGGTCAGCGAGGGGCGAGCAGTGCCAATCCATCAATCCGTACACACACACACACACACACACACACACACACACACACACACACACACACACACACACACACACACACACACACACACACGCACACGCACACGCACACGCACACGCACACGCACACGCACACGCACACGCACACGCACACGCACACGCACACGCACACGCACACACAGACATACACGCACACACAGACATACACACACGCGCGCTACTGCTGCTGCTGCCGAAAAAAATACGAGCTGAATTCAATCTTGACAATTTACTCAATAACTTTTATCTTTGCCCATTTTTTCGGGTCTCCATTTTCACTTCATATCACCTTTCCTGGAAGTTCATTTAGAAACTTCTTTTTTTTTTTAAACCAAGAGGATTATTCACTGAATTTTGGCATTATGCACGACAAAACTCATTAATGAATAAATAAATCATATATACGGACCTGAACAGCGGAAATGTGATACGAAAGGCAAAGAGAAAGAAGGAAAGAAACACGAACAAACAAACACACGAAGAAAGCATGGACAAGAAAATAGAAACAAAAAACCGAAGGTATCCAAAGGAGCGGACGCGACAGTAGCGCTTGGGGTCCCGCCAAAAAATCTCGGGCAACCACCTTTTAACATCCCACCCGATCAAAAAAGAAGAAAAAGAAAAGACAAATGAGACAAAAAGAAATAAAAGAAAGGGCAAATGAGATTAAAAAAAAATAATAAAAAAAAATAAAAAAAAAAAAACGAAAGGGAACATGAGACAAAAAGAAATAAAAAGAAAGGCTAAATGAAACAAAAAAGAAGAAGGAAAAGAGAAGTTAACAAAAAGGCTTGAAAACTTCTGCGCTTGCTCTTTTTTTTCTTTTTTTTTTCTTTGGGGGGGGGGGAGAGGCCGTCGAGAGAAACACACCGCCATTCAATTCATTCTTCTTGCTCGTTTTTTTTCATTTACTTTATTCTCAAAAACCGCAGAGCACCCACTGCAATTACAAAATCCGCTCTAGGCGTTACGAAAGGCACATTCTCTCATTTACAGCCCCCCCCCCCTTTACTTTTCTGTCACACCTGTTCGCTCTGTCTCTGTCTGTCTCTTCCCTTCCTTCTCCCTTTATCTACCTCTCTCTTTTTATTGCTCTCTCCTCTTCTCCACCCTTTTCTCCGTCTCTTTTTTATGCCTCTCTCTCTCTCTCTCTCTCTCTCTCTCTCTCTCTCGCTCTCTCTCGCTCTCTCTCGCTCTCTCTCTCTCTCTCTCTCTCTCTCTCTCTCTCTCTCTCTCTCTCTCTCTCTCTCTCTCTCTCTCTCTCTCTCTTCCCCCTTTTTTGCCTTTCTTTCTTCTCTTCTACTTTCTCCCTATCTTTTATTTTATTTTCCTCCACCTTCTACCTATCTCAATGTTTTTTCTCTCGAAGAACGCTCTATTGTTTCCTCTCAAAATAGCAGAAGCTTAGAACATACTATACCCTCTCCCCACTCTCCCTCTTGCTCCCTCCCCACCCACCCTTGCCCTCTCCACTTCCCTCCGTCCTTTTCCTCTCCTCTCCTCTCCTCTCCTCTCCTCTCCTCTCCTCTCCTCTCCTCTCCTCTCTCCTCTCTCCTCTCCTCTTCTCCCTTCCTTTCATTTCCTTCCCTTCCTTCCCTTCCCCCTTCTGCCCTTCTTCCCATACTTCCCCCCCTCCTCCTCTCCCCCTCCCCGTGCCCCCCCGCCAAGCACCACTCCCCCCCCCACCCCCGAAACCCCCCACCCCCCCCCACCCCGACACCCTGCTTTCGTGTCCCTGATTCGACCCATCCCAGATCTGCCCCGACTTGGCTGACGCCCCAATCCGCCTGGGCGATTGGCGAGTCGTTTACTCCAGATTAGAGATTATGACGACGCCGAGAGGAGACGAAAGAGGATCAATCACAATTACACGACCTATCCCCCCTCCCCCCCTTCCTTTCCTCCCCGCCAGGCGGCAATGAGTTTTTTTTTGTTTTTTTTTAATGGTTTCGTTTCTGTGTATGTTCGTTGCCATTTTTTGTTTACTGCTGCCGCCCGTGTTTATCTATCTGCAGGTCTACGAAAGTGTATTTGTACATTCTAATATGAATATGTAATGAATTGTGCAAAAGCTGCGTGTCTGAGCATATGTAGAGCATCCGTGCGCCCGAGCGTCTTTCGCACCGTGCTCGCGCGCGCGCACACACCCGAAGGTGCGTGCTCGGCAGCGCGGCGGCGAGTGAAAGCGAAGGCGTTCTATAATTCCGCGGAGACAAAAAGCGAGATAAAATATATATATAAAGACACGCGATCAAAAGTTGCGTCACCAAATTACAAAAAAGTATAAGTACAATGAGAGGGGGCAGGAGAGGGGAGGGGGAGGAGGAGGGTAGAGGGAGGAGAGGGAGGGGGGGAAGGGAGGGAGGGAGGGAGGGAGGGAGGGAGGGAGGGAGGGAGGGAGGGAGGGAGGGAGGGAGGGAGGGAGGGAAGGAGGGAGGGAAGGAGGGAGGGAGGAAGGGAGGGAGGGAGGGAGGGAGGGAGGGAGGGAGGGAGGGAGGGAGAACCAACAGAAAGACTGACTAACAAGTTAATGCAGACATACAAACACAAATTGAAACACTAAAACATGACCTGAACCTGCGAGAAAAGAGATAAATAAAGAAAATAAGAAAGAAAATAAGAAAAAAAGAAAAATAAACAAAGCAAACATCTAATTCAAATCGACTTATCTTTCTTACCAAACCACGCTTTATGAAAGAAAGAAAAAAAACAATCACAGAAGCCGAAATAAAACACAAAAATACACCGAAACCAAATAAAACTGACCTAATATAAAGAACAAAAACCAAACCAACCCAAAAAAATAAAACATCAAAAACGAATCACAAAAGAAAAAAAGATCAAACCAAACCAAAAACCAAAAACAAAAAAACATACCAAAAACGAATCACACAAACACAAACACATACACAAACACAAACACAAACACAAACACAAACACAAACACAAACACACACACACACACACACACACACACACACACACACACACACATACCTGGAAATAATCATATCCCTGCATGTAGATACACGGCTCCATCTCGCTGGTGTTGAGCTGTGCCGGCTGAGGACACGGGTCGTCGGCCAGGTGGAAGAACACATTCTGCTGGACCTCCTCGGGAGCCACGCCCGACGCGTTCACGATGATGTCCCACAGGCGCACTTCGCGGATGGCGGCGATCTCGTCGGCGTCGAAAAGGCTGCGGGGGTCAGGGGGGGGCAGGCAAGGGGGGTGGGAATGGGTGAGAATGGGTGGGAATGGGGGGGTAAGGGAATAAGGGATGGGGGATGGAAAAAAAGGGATTGGGAATGGGGAATTCAGAATAGGGAGTTAGGGAGAAAGGGATGGGGATGAAGAAAATGGGGTGAGAATAGGGAGTTTGGGAGTAAGGGATAGGGAAAAGGGGGGGTAGGGGAGATGGGGAGGGGCAGGGAGAGGAGAAAGAAAATGCGGGTGAGATCCGAGTGACACCGTGAGACTGGGGTGGCAATTCT